TTTTTTTTTTTTTTTTTAGGCGTAAAGCCGATGAGTCCTTCTGCTGTGCTCTTAAATCAGGTTCTAGTTCGTACGTCCGTTGAGAGTATTTACCGGACCTCGGGCCTCCGGTCCTGGTGCTTAACGCTGTTCATCTTAGTAAGCTGAGGGCGCGTGTGGAACCCCGCTCAGCACCAGTGGCTACTCCTCGAGTCCGGCTGAGCGCGAACCGACCAGGGTATCGAGGGGAACCCAGCCGCCCGTGAGCTGCGGGGACCGCGGGCCCGAGCGTCGCCTTAACTGTCGCCTGCCTGCGAAGCGAACGTAGCTAATTGCTGGAATGACCTGTAGCGTCCCCAGGATCAGCTGTGAGTGTTCTGCAGAGCAATACGCCTCTTCTCGTCGCCGACGCAAGGACAGGATTGTTTTTCTCTTTTTCAGTTAATAAGCTCTGGCGGACCCCACAGTGTTTTCCAAAAAATGTAGGCCGGTCGGTCCGCTCCTTCCCCTCCGTGAGACCCGCGAGCGACAATGGGAAGGTAACGGCCCCGGTTGACGCCCGAGACGCTCTCGCCGGGTCCCCGGCCCTCCGTGTGCCTCTGCTTCCTGGGAGCCACCCGCCTGTGCCCCAAATGCCACGTCGCCCGTCCTGATGTAAAAAAAAAAAGTTCTAACCTTTTTCTTTTTCCCCCCCTTAACTAATCCTTATCTAAACTGTTTATATCGCCTCAAATTTACTGTATAATTTGGACGTTTTGGACGTACAGGGAAACTGGTAAGAATACCGAGTTCCCATACGTCCCTGCCCGCAATTTCCCTGCGCTCGTGTCTCGCGTCTGCACGGTCCCTCGTCGCCATCAATGAATCAGGACTGACGGCCCATCGTTTTTAAAAAGCAGCCTTTTAGAGTGAGCATTGGGACGGGGTGATTTTTCCCTTCAACACTCACAGTCTGAAGAAGATCCGCCCGTGAGGGCTGCGGAGGCAGATGTGGGTTCTAGTTCACTCGCTCAGTTAAACATCGTGGCCTCGGAAGTGTCGGCTCCTTTCTTGCCTCCGTCGCCTCACGGGCGTTTGACCGGAATCCTGTGTCGTTTTGGGGGCGCTCGGCCCCCCTCCGGTGACATTTCTGTCAAGGTCTTTTAAACTAGAACTGTGCCTTACTCGACGGACGGAGTCAGCGGCTGTGGTTCCACGTTACGAACAAAAGCCAGAGCCTCCGAAGGACTAAGCAGCAAGTAGGAGTATTTTAAACCCTTAAAATCTTGAGGGTTCAAAGTCTGCTCTTGGACGAGACTTCCCGGCGTTCTGGTGGATGGAGGGAGACTGAGGTGACGCTCAGGCGAGGTCCGCGGGAAACAGGAGTGTTATTTATTTTTTCCTAGGCCCCTATCCTCTAGTCCAGTGAAGCCAGATATTTGCAAGTTTCCCTGCCCTTTGAATTTTAGTGAGTGAGACGTTGGCTCTGGTACGTGGTCTTTCCGTGGCCTCCAAGCGGAGCCGGGGCCCTCCCTGAACCCCGCCCCCATGCATCTCCCGTGCCCTGAGATGTGGCCCCCGTGGTGTTTCAGGGGATAGGAGAGCAGTGTGTGAACTTGGGAGCTGTTGTGCTGTTAGGTAGCATATTTGGATGGTTACCTACATTAGCATATTTTAGGAAGGCACCAAATGATAGCGTGATCATTTTTTTTCTGATTAAAAATGAATAACTCATTCATTTAGGAAAGAGTAATTGGCATATGCAAGGTATAGTGTAATGTAATTGACAGTCCCCACTGTGAAGGAGCCCGTTAAAAGGAAACAAAATTGCAAATCTCAATAATAATAATAATAATAATAACATTCATCTTAGACGTTATTAACCCAAGATTCTAACACCAAAAACGTCTTTTGAAGCTGCTTTATCTAAAACATGCTCTAAGTTTGGAGCCGCAGTGCCATTTCTAATTTCATTAACTTTCTGTGTAATTCTATGAAGAATCTATAATCATGCTGCTACCCAAGAAACCTACCTTTTAAAAAAAAAAAAATATATATATATATATATGTTTTTATTGATTTCAGAGAGAGGAAGGGAGAGGGAGAGAGAGAGAAACATCAATGATGAGAGTCATTGATCGGCTGCCTCCTGCCCGCCCCCTGCTGGGGATTGAGGAGCCTGCAACCCGGGCCTGGGCCCTGACCGGGAATCGAACCAGCAACCTCGTGGTTCGTGGGTTGACGCTCAACCACTGAGCCACACCAGCCAGGCAAGAAACCTCCTTTTAAAGGCCAGATTCAGAGACAGAAACGGAGTGTCCTGTTCAGGAGACTGTCCATCTCCCCTAAGGCCGTCTTCGCACCAGGCTGCACGGGCCCTGGAGCCGTAAGGGAACGATGCTCCCCTGTGACCCTTGGGGCCCCTTCCCTCCGTGTGGGGCTCACTGGGGGTGCGGAGGCATGTCGACCGGAGTCCAGGTTTACCGTCTTCGTCATGATAACAGCCTTCTCTAGAATCAGCCCCCCCCCTTTTTAAGTGAAGTCTGTAGGTGACAGTCCCGTCGCCAGCATTTTGTGCTGACACCCTAATAACAGCCTCCAGCTGTTTCCTAAACAAGGCGGAGATATCGGCCCCTGCTCCAGAGGAGAAAACGGAATATTCTCAATCTCGGTAGCTCTTCTTTCTCTTGTAGAAAATCCCCATTTTCAGGAAAAAAAAACCAATTATTTTCATGAATGAATTTTTCTGATGCGAATTCCATTTTGTTTGGCCTAAGAGACCTTGATTCTGGGCGGGTGTTTGTGAATCAGACCGTAAGTTTAAGGATGTGAGATGAACGCCCGAATCCGAGTCCTCCGAAGCGCCTCACGATACAGGAAGGAGCTCTTTCAAATGCTGTCAGTGCCCGTTTCTTTCTCTCGCCCGTCTTAGTGTCTGTGTCTTGACGCTTATTTAAGAGACAGAATGGTTTTTGATTAAACCATTTAGCATTTTGATTTGGTCAAGATAGAGAATCATGTGTGTTTAGAAAGAAGGATATTTTTATTTTGAAAATAATAGGATTTTGTGCAATATTGTTTCTCGCCTCACTTAGTTCAGATGAATATGCAACTCCGCTCTCGTAGCGGACGCCTTAAGGTCGTGTTTTTCAGTATTTGTGTAGAACTGTACGTAGCAATGCTCTCGCTGATTTTAGAAGGAAAAAAATAGTGTTTATATTGTTGGCAGGAGAGATGTTTTTGTTTATTTAAAATAATTATGGATAGTGCATTATATAACTAACTGCCTCAGCAACAATAAATATGCAAGAAGAAAATCCTGAACCTTAGATCAGTGTTGACACTGTTGTTGTTTCAAAAGAAATGTATATAGGGCAACGTGCTGATTCCACGCGTCCCTTTAACACATCCCCGGGCCCCACCACGTCGGTCGATCTGCGTGGCGCCCGCAGGGCGAGGCCCGCATCTGCAGATTGTAACGCCCTTCGGGGCGGCTCCTTGGTAGGACCGACACAGGGCGTTGCCGACGGCTTCGGACCGTCTGTAAATGAAGTTCACTTTTGTATAATGTACAGTTTGTTTGGCCTTACAGCTTCTCCAGGTTCCTACCTTTACGATACTTGAATCAGGCAGAAAAGCACTGTGACGTTCTGTAGCTCGAGACACAATACGCAAAACCCACCGGAACACGGAACAAGGTGCTGAGCCGTGGCGCCCGCTGGATGCTCTCCGTGCAAAACGCTGCGTTTCCCCCAGCCCGCTCTCAGCTCCGTGGAGGAATTGTAAACGGTACAGCCGTTCGTCTTCAGAGGGATCCCGAGCGCTCACCTCTGTTCCGTGGGAAACCTCTCCGGCTCTGCCTCTGTGTGCTTTCAGTCCTCAGTGAGGACGTGGGCTAATGTCCCTCAACAAGGGACCCCGGGGGCCAGGGACGGATCGGCCTCCGGTTGGTCGCACGGTGTCGAGGACGGGACAGAACTAGGCTGGGTGCGCGCTCAGGGCACCGCGGGCGCGGAGCCGGCATCCTCCCGGGAGCGTCACTACGCGTCGGGCACCAACCCCGGGCCTTCTTGAGCCTGCTGTGGCTCAGGCCTTAAACAGCGGACAGGCAAGAAGTGCCTGGAACCCGCAGCCTAAAATGCACCCAGCTTTTCCACATCAAGGGTTCAAAGCGGGACTTTCCCAAAGCGCGTTTCTGTTGCTTTAAAGGAATAGCTGTTTGAAAGGACTGAGCCCTTTGCTGGGCGTGGGGACAGATCTGTGAAAATCCAGCCGGCACTGAGACCTGGCCTCCTTCAGGCAACGGTGCAAG